TCTCTGTTAATCCTTAGGATCAATAAAGAATAGGATATCATGATAATTACAAATAAAATATGAGTTTTACATATTGTATGCTTGGTAATTTCAAGAGCAATAGGTTATATCTTAAAGCATTTTGTTTCAAAGTCTAAGCTCTTATGGCTTTTTTTACAAACACATCTGCAGGCCACCAGGCCCAAAGTCCCAAGTGTTCGACCAACCGCAATTCAGAGAACTACAGACACTTCCAGAAATATAACTTTGATATGCATTCTTTCATAAACCCTCTGATGCCCCAGGCCTGTTACCAAGCGTGGCAGTTCATGTGATTTTTCTCATAATCCCCGCCCCCCCCCCCCAGTCACCCGGACATTTATTTGAGGGGAAATAATTCACACACATCGCCACCAATTAGACTGCAACGAGACTTTCAATAGGCCTTGTGTAATTTAAAGGGTAACTACAACGAATTTCATCTATAGCCTCCCCTTGTTGCACCTTGCTCAAACAAATAATCCCCGCGTTCACTGCGAAATTAAAACAATTGTTTCATCAGCAGTGAAACGTTTTCATCTCAATAAATGCTTCGGGGATGCATGCCTTAATGGCAAATATTCAAAAAGTTTAGGACATGGACAGCATTAAAATGACGAGAGGTCCCAAACCCCCGAAATCCACGCAAATCACAACAATATCAGAATTGGGAATTGCTTCTATACTTTTCGTTAAAAGAGTAAATAGCCTAGACTTAAATGAATGCGTGCCTACACAGCAAAAACCACAGTGTACATTGTAGGCCTACTCTATAAGAGTACATTTAACACCAGTCTCGGGGTGTATATAGGTCCAAGAGTTTGGTGTTCTCTGAACACTGTCAAAAGTGTAAAATATAAACTCCAAATAAAGAGTTAGATTTGAACACTTTGGGAGTCAAAATATACTAGATATATTCTTAATTACTTAGGGACACTAAACCCACATTGCGTTCTAATTAATTGAAATACTTATCCAGCACATTAGGCTACATTGAACAGCCAGTGCATGTGTTTATTTATTCTTTTCAAAAGTGTCAATAAGATTACATGTTGACGAACACAGAGAGCACTATATTAAAAAAAAAACCGTGTTGTTTTATAGAGGAAAACACAACACAAACAACAATAATAAAAGGCCAGTCAGCTAAAATAAGTAGTCCAGTACCAGGAGACATTATTGGATTAAATATCAAGGTGTTTCACAATGCAGGGACACCAAAAGTATCTGTACAGCAAGACTAAATACTAAATCCACGTAGAGACAAGTATTTATCAGAACTACAGTCCCCCATGAGCGGTTTAAAGCACGCAGCAGTCACAGCATACTTCATCTTCTGACACAATTCACATTCAGGAAGAAGAGGTAGCCGACAATAATTGTAGTTAGATTGGTGCTCTTTTTCTTCCTAGAAGTACACGGTTTCAAACACCAAAACACCAGGAACACAGCACCAGCTCCTGCAGGGTTTTACGCAGCTCCTGACTCCGGTAGGCGTAGATGAGAGGGTCGATGAGCGAGTTGCAGATGATGAGGATGAGGAAAAGGTTAAAGTTTCGGAAGAAGCAGTTGCAGAAGGGGCTGGTTGGGCAGGTGAGGATGAGGATTAGATGGAGGAAGAAGGGGCCCCAACATACAATGAAGACCCCGAGCAGGATTGTGAGGGTAATTGCTCCCTTCATGCTCGTAGATTGGCGTCTGCTTTTGTTGAAAGCCACAATGCGCCGGGAATGAATGTGCGCCAGGACAAACATGTGCAGGTACAACACCGCGTTAAACACCAGAGTGATGCAGAAGAAGGTCACGAGGCACACTATGACAGCGTTGTCGGTGTGGTACACAATGAAGAGGATGCTGGCGGTGATGCTGGCCAGCCACACCACCGCGATGATGGCGATGGCGCGCTGCGTGGTCATGATGCTGTGGTAACGCAGCGCGTAAAAGATGGTGATGTAGCGATCCGCGGCGATGGTGCACAAAAAGGAGAGCGAGGACACCACGGAGCTGCAGATCATCACGTCGATGATGTTGTCCAGGTGGCGCAGCATGCCAGGGTGCACGTCCATCAGGCCGTGGTCGTTGAGAAGCATGAAGATGGTCTCCACCACGTTGCTCACACTCACCAGCATGTCGGACACGGCGAGGCAGCAGATGAAGTAGTACATGGGTGAGTGCAGGTTGCGGTTCTTGATGATGGCCAGGACCACCAGGATGTTCTCCACCAGGCTGATGAGCCCCAGCGCGAGGAAGAGCTCCTGAGGAATGCGGATCTGCACGCAGCCCAAAGAGTTTCGCTCTCCTGCGGTGGAGTTAGTTTCGTTATACTCCAAAAAGTCACTTAGCGGGCCGAAGTCCACGTGGAGGATGGAGGGGATATTGTGTGACCTGTTGGTCATTTCCATGACTGACTGATGGCTGGCAGGTTAACACACTGCGCTTCTGGTTTTTACTGCAGCAAAGTCTCAAACGAGGGAAGAAAGTTATTGTTTTCTTTTTGGAGGATGCTTCACCATCAGCTGTTTTATTCAAACTGGTTAGAAGAAAATCAAGTGAGTGGTTCAGTTGTTGAACCCATCAACGCGTTGATTGTCAATTATCCACAATGCACCCCCTAATAACTAAAAACTGTTTTTTTTCTATATATTTCAGCCATTAAATCAATATTAATCGGCAGTTGGGTGAAGTCAAAGTAATTCCAGAGATTTTGCGATGTTGTCTCTTTGATGACAGTTTTCTTCTTTCCTATGGATGCAAGTGGTCCAGCATAGGAATCCATAAAATGAACTTCTCCGTCAAAACATCGCTTCAAAAATATAATCCACAAAAAGCAACGACAGTTCCGACTAACATGGTCGAGAGTGAATAAAGTGTCCTTGTTACCTTGGGATTTGGTGACTTGGTTGAACACTTCTCTCAGTGATGCTTCTTGACCCCCGGCGACTCCTCCTCTCCAGCAGTCGTCTGCTGAGCTGTGATCTTCAGTCATGTCTGACACAAGCGCAGTTTGGAGAAAACATGTAGAGGAGAGCAGGGCGGTGAAAAGATTTGTTCAGCCCAGTAGTTCATCTTGTTGTCCTCTTTTTTAAATGCATGCTGTAGTTTCCTTTTATCTTTACAAACGTGCAAGTTATTATGCTATAATAATGACAGTGACAGTGCCATATTATCCATCTAAAAATTACCCTTAAATGAATGCAAGAATGTGACCACCAAACGTGTATGCCTCCTCCATTGCTTTTCCCTTCTTACAGACAGACATGAACAGATATGAATCAATGCTTTAAATTCCAGATTTGAGTTTGACCTTTTTTTGCAATTTTCTACGGATAAAACAAATCTGATAAGTCAATTATTTGCAGAAAATACTGTTGTTGCTGTAGACACGTCACCACATAAGCTATTTAAGTCATCAACAAAAAGCTGGTGTTTGATGGTTGATGATTTCTTCCTTGCCTATATCGAAAAGCACTGTAATAACATGACACCAGTTCTTATTCAAATATGAACAATCCATTGGTCTACTTTACATTTGAGTAGCACCAGTTGCTGCATGGTTAAGGTCTGGATTAAATAAAAGACTCATTGCACTGAGCAAGAATTTGGTATGTTTTGTATTGGGGTGTAGTTCAGTCAGGACTATATGTTTATAGTATGTAATTGAAACTGTAAGCTATATACTTTAATCAGAATTAACAGGGTATACAATTAGCATTGTGGGAAAGTGTATAATTGCTGTTCTGCTTCTTAAAAGAGGTTCTCAAGTTTTAAATTCCTCTCAATTTAAGCTAAACATCAAGATTACAGATGAATTGATGGACAAATAATTAAGCTACTTTAATAACTATTTGAATAATCTATTAATTGTTTATATAAAAGTATTATTGTCTCTTTCGATTTAGCTTTTCAAATGTGATGATTTCGTTATAATCTGGACATGTTTCGAGTCTTGTTTGGCTCAAACCGTCTCAGGCTCTGGGAACTTGCAACATGCTATTCTTACAATGCATCTTACTAAAAGATTATTTTATTAATCTATAAAATAATCTCCACATTAATGGATACTGAAATAATCATCAGCATGTACACTTTTGACTTCAAATGCACAGTGCTATTTAACAGAAGTTACCAAGGTCAATAACTACAGGTATAGTTTTAGTTCTCTAAGGTCTAGTACCTCAGAATAAAAAAAATAAGATAACCCTGTCGTGATCTCTAAGTTATTATATACATACATATAAATTATGCAGCAGTGGTTGCAGCATTAGCGTTGCATCAGACGGTTTCTGACACTAGCAAACAGCTCTCTCTGAGAATATGAAAGCCTTTCTATACTGAAAACGATCGCATGAAACTTCTCACTCAGCATAGCTCCAGGTGATCTAGGAACAATGACATCATTTGACAATCAAACACAGTCACACTTTGTTATCATGTGGTGAGCTGAGTAAGTTAATGTATGAACAGCTACAGTGTGTGTGTGGTGGTTAAATCCAGAGTGTATCTTCTTTGTGATAAAAAAAAGCCTTTAGGTTGAATTTGATTTATATATTTCCGTCCAAAAAGCTTGTGTGCAAGTTGTTACATAATAATAAGAGCTACAGTACAACTGATGTGACATCCGTTTGTCTGAGAGGTGTGACAGGAAGACAAAATCAGTTGTCATGAGACAGGACCTTCCTTCTGCCAGAAGATAAACCAGGTGAGGGCGTTGCAGATTGTCAGGCGGAGAAATCTCTGTAGCCTTACTCAGGACCCAATTATGATGACAAAAACCAGCAACACAAGATTGAAAACTGGGAAACATCTGGTGTCACATTACTAATGCAGGAATGAAAAGTTCAATATAATATCTTATAGCCATCCCGAGAGAAGCCATTAGTATCTGACTAATGGCTTCAAATAATAAAATCAACCTAAAGCAAAATGTATAAAATATCCGCCATACTCTTGCACTGAATATAGTTTGACAGACAACAGCAGACTAGAAAGAAGTGGGCCAATTCTCTGTACCGTTTTATTGGGTGAAGCGAACAGAGCAGGAGCGGGGGAGCATAACAGAGCAGGAAAACAGCAGACTTCCTGCAGTGAAGATAAGATTCACACCAACATTTAAAAAAAAAAAAGGAGCCCATGAAAAATGTGATCTCGAGTTTTCGACTGTTGCTTGACAATGTGAAAAAACAACACTTGAGCAATATATTTCTTCTTGAATAATGTAGTGATAGGATCAAAGAAAAAGTGATAGTTTTGATTTAGTGAATGCTTAAATTAGCAGGAAACTCAACTAAACTTCATTCTCGTTGAAGGGAAATTAGATCCTAATGAAGGATGTGATCAGTCCCAACAGGACCTCACCAAGATTTAGTTTTTTTATAAATCCCACCAGAAATTACTTTTAGCAGAATTTGTAGAACACTGATATAATTTGCAGTTTTTTGTACTTATTTATTTGCTAGGAAGCACGGTTGTCTGAGGAGGGGTATGCCTTTCAGTATATGTGCTTTTCACAACACAAAAGGTGGTTAATATTGTATATATAATTATATAAAAAAGACGTGTAATTAGCTCTCCGTTTTCCCCTCTACATTTGTAAGCCATTGAAAGTTCACATGGACTTTAATTTGTTGAACTGATTCCCCCAAAGATGTGGTTTGCCAGAAACCAGAGGAAAGAGTAGCGGCCATTATATGTCACTGACCATGACTGAAGATGTTGGAAGTGCTCAATGTTGTGTACAAGCTTAAAGGACATGACATGTTCAATAACCATCTGTTTGTATCTAAGGCAGAGAACTGGACAACCTCATAAAACCAGGTCCAGTCCAGTTCTCTGAAATTGTGATAATTAAAAAAATACTATTCAGTTCTCCCACTCTAGCTCTCTCAATGATTTATTAACCCCATTAAATATTTTAATTTGTCTTAATGTCATTATTTTCTTCCACCTCAGTCTCTCTCCTCTCAGTCCCACTCCTCCTCATCTCTGTAGGGGTTTTCGTCTCTCGGCGGCTCTTGAAACCTGATGTTTGCCAGCATGTCTCTCATTGCCACCATCAGACGATTCACTTCCTGGTTCAGCTCCTGTCCGGCGCGAGCCACTTCCAACTCATCCTCCGGCCTCGGCCCACCCTTATTGGGAAAAAGAGATGTCAGTCAATAAACAAAAATCAAGAATCAAAATACTTTCAATGTTAGCATTTTGGATTTATTTAAAATCCTGCAAAAGTAACCAGTGGTTCAACAGTCATCACTCGATGTCGAAAGAAAACTATCAAAAGGATTTTCTTTAGAAAGTTATTGACATTAAATGATCCCATTTTATTCGTAGCCAAGCTAATCAATACAAAGCACTTTTGATGATGTTGTTAAAAAATAAAACCAATACCAGGAGAATCTAGTGATAATGTTGTGTTGTAAACATTATGTTGTGTATGTAGGTCTTTACTCGCCTTAACTTTATTTCTTTTATCCATATTGCATCTCTTCCTCTCTATAAGTGAATAACATGATCAGGATGGATAAAACTTTCCGGATGGAGACATGCCCCAGGCCCATCTGGTGACTGAGCATGTATAGCCGCACCAGAGACTCAATGTGTGGCTGAACCTGATGTATGCATCTTACTGGCTGCAGTCGGTTTCTGCTTCACACTGACGGTACACTTAACGGCTGATGATGAGTTAGACCTGACTCCATATGTCTTTGAAAAGCCTTTACGATCCACTGGGTACATACTGTTTCATGTTAAGCACCTCAATCATCGTAAAGTTGTCAAAGCCCCCTGGCTTTAACCCTGTAGGACATAAACCAGACTTGTTCTGTGCTTGGTCTAGCAGAACCATATAGCTTTTGATTCTTAGCATTACTGATGGTGCCGTATGTCCAAAAGAGTTTAACTGTGTTATGCCATAAGTATTCTGGAAGTCTAAAAGTTTATGTCAAACAAGTTTCTGACCATGTTAACGTGTAGTCGTGTAATTCATGCTGTGTTAAAGCATATCGTTTACTTTTGAATCATCAAGTCACTAGTGGACCGGTCAACATGCATTTTGGATTCAAACAATCCGATAACGTTGAACAATGCTGTTAAACACCAAAGATTCACATCGCTCTACGTTTCTCTACTAAACTGGTGATTTACTGAAGATTGGTTGTATTTATTAAGATACGCAAGATATCATCTGTTCAGTTTTTCGGGGGCTGAAACATGGTAAAAAAAATGTAGATCTTAAATGTGTTTGGGTGTCCCATAAGTCCAGATACCTTAACATCAAAGTTGTTTTAAAGGCTTTGTCTCATATGATGGTTTTATCTTCAGTCTCTATTATTTGCAGGGTTTGGCCATTAAATCTTCTCGTTTAGGGTTAAGGAAAGATCACCTTTATGGTTCAGAGAATTTTAAATATTATAATTTATTAATATGAATTATCTATTTTAAAACGACCCGTCTGTTTGCTGTGGTTTTGTAATAACACATCTCACCGTCCTGCTCTACATCAAAATGGGTTTGTCACCATGTGTCCCTACTTTATTAATATCATGGGTACAATTTTCTCCTTGTTTTTGTTTTTTTACATTTTGCTTATTTAGTCTTACTGAATTACAGCACTGCTCTACAGGAATTAAATTAAATTGAAATATACTTGCAGCTTGAACTTGCCCTTTACGATGGAGAACTGAAATCATTATCTATACACACTTCATAGCAAACAGACTCCAGTGATTTTTTTGCCAATTCTGTGAATAAACTAATCCTTTAAAACAGCAAAGTCACTATCGACACAAGACTAAAACAAACTGACTGAGACAACAGTAAAGCAGCAACCCACATGTTTGCACAGTAAAATGACTGGTTTTTCAAAAGAGAGCATAGAGCAGGGGTACTCAAATACAAATCTTAAAGGTCCAAAGAAATGTTTCAATAAGACAAAGGTCCGTTTATTACGGTCATTCAAACTTTTAAACAATTGCAACAAGATTCTTAACACGAGGTTGCAAAAACAAAAATAATCTGTACGCAGCAGTTTTCATTGTTATTGTGTCTGTGCTTGATCCCTCAGAGTCGCAGTGTGAGAGCTGCACAGTTATGAATAAAGGCAGCTGCACCCTCTTTCATTCAGCATTCCCATTATTGCTTTATAAATGTCTTGCCCCCTTGTGTCTCCACTGAGGTTCGTCAGGCCCAACACATCTTCAACAAACTCCCCCTTTGCCTCATCATAAAATCTCACAAACACCAGCAACTGAGCATTGTCAGTGGTGTCAGTGGACTCATCCACAGCTAAGGAAATGCACCGTGCATTTTGTATTCCATCACAAAGCTGATTAATCAAATCACCAGCCAGTATTTATGTTCTTCTGGTTGCTGTGGAATCTGAGAGGGGGATTTGCTTGATTTGACCTGTTATTTCCTCTTTTTGTTTGCCTTCAAACATGGTCTCCATCACTTCAGTCATGCATTCTTTTATTATTTCTGCATCAGAGAATTGCTTAAACACCCATGCCACTCTGAGTGAGGACTCAGTTGCATTTTCTCGTTGTGACATAGATGTAACAAGGATCCTGCTTGCAGCTTGATATGATGATTTCATCCCATTTATTCTTTTGGTTCTTACCGCTGAATTTTGAGGAAAGGTCGCTTCAAAATAATTGTGTTTTGTTTCATAGTTCCGTTTCAAATTGCCACTCTTCACAAGAGCTACCGTTTCTTGGCATATTAGGCACATTGGTTTGGTGCTCGCTGGAGGGAAGATGAACGCATATTTTTCAGTCCATTCATCTTTGAATTGCCGATTTTCACTGTTGACTTTTCTTTTACTGGTCATCTTTGAACATGCTTCTACTAGAGCCTGCTGGTGAAACTAGGCTACTAGCTACATTACAGGTGAAACTAGAGGAACTGTCAACTCTCGCTCTGACTTTTTTTTTTTAAACTCTCGCTCTGACAGGTTGAAAGAGACGACACACGCATTTTTCCCACCCGCATTTCTCGAAGACCCGCCCTACTGTGCCTCTGATTCGCAGACTGTTGGTGGGGGGAAAAAACGCTGACAGGATGCTGAATGTGATTGGACCAAAGCGTTGACAGACACACACGGACCGTGGAACAGTCGGACATGCAGAGCGCTGTTTGCAGTGGACATAGCGGAGAATTTTGACTCGTTGCGTTGTGGCGATGTCTCGCAGATAACACAGATAATACATAAGAAAAGTATAATTTGCTCAGAGTCCAGAGACAGTTGTGGTTCGGTCCGGATCGGAGTCCGGACTTTGAGGATGCCTGGCATAGGGGAAGGCTTCAGTTCCCGTTGGAAAAGACCATGAAAATATCAAAACAATAGCGAACACTTAAACTGATGTTGATTTAAAGGGGACCTATCCAGTGGCGACTGGTCATTAGGGGCAGGTGGGGCACAGCCCCACCTAGTGTCAGCAGAAAGTATTACAAATAATGATTACAAAAAATGCAAAAAAAAATATATATATATAAAATATATTTTAAGAACATGTTTAATCATCTGATTCGTCTGTACATTGCTGTTTTAGTCTGTGTTCTTCTAATTAGTGTGTCTACAGTCACAGTGTGTGCCTATTGAGCTGTTTAGAGCCATGTGGGACAAAACCTGATCATGCCCCTTCCTCTCGCTGTGAAGTGAACGGTGACTGTAAAAACTACACTGCGCATGCTCAGAGTATTTTCCTATTTAATGTGTGTGGCAAAAAAATAATGACCAGAGGGGCACGGAGCTGTCATCCCCACCATACGTCATCTCACATCATTCAGAGCTGATTGGCTGTAAGTACGTGTGCCGCGAAAAGTGTGGTGTGTGTGAAGAGGAGACGAGAGAGCTGCAGTGGCGCGTCCTAAAACCAGGAAGTAACCACAAAAAAGCAATGAGGTTTCTCCATAGGATTTTAGAAAATAGCTCGAAATAAGATCTGTGGGAAACGTACCTGTTAGATAAATGCACGTTTTGTTCAGCCGGATAACATCCACATGTCTACCCTACTTTTATAATTTTTTTATCATAAATCTATCGATTAGATTTATGATAGACTTTTGAAACTACAAGAAGATAAGGAGGACTTTTACAAAAAGGTAATAGAAATGTTTGTCCAGAAGGATAGGCAAATGGACTTCATCTTCAAGTCAAGGTAAGACCGCAATTTTATTGAAAATGGGATCTTACTAAGAGAGAACAATTCAATATTTAAATGATAAAATTACATTTTTTGGGTATCCTTTTGTTGAACTGTCTGTTTAAAATTAATCGAAGCATCAGACAAAAAAAGCTTTTGAAAATAATATTATATTTTGGTTTAGGTCAAAATATAATATTTGTAAACCTGAAGAGTCAGTGCCAGTGCCTCACCAGCCATGAACCTCACTGCAGAAGCTTATATATAGACATCTACGTTTTTTGTGCCCCACCACTTTTGTACATATAAAAACGCCACTGGACCTATCATGCAAAATGCACTTTTGTACGTCTTTTATACATGAATATGTGTCCCTGGTGTTCCAGGGAACTCACCAAGTGTCAGAAAACACAACCCTCTCTATTTTCCTCCATACCCAAATCTCTAAAAAAAGGGGCTGCAACGGATCTGATACAGACTGATCCAGATTTGAACACTTCTATGTCGTCACAGAAGTGGCGCTACGGCTATTGGGCCAACTCTCCACCTATCAGGGGAATGTGGGGTTGGGCCACGGCCGGCCATTGCCGCTCGAAAGTGCTGGAGACGCTGTAGTACATATGCCAGGCCTGTAAGTGGCGCTGTAGTCTGCCACAAAAGCAGCGAAGAAGACTTCCCGCCCATAGTTACCATGGTTACCCTTCTGTTTATTCTCCGCTGTGGCTTTTTTTCTCCCTCCCCGAGGCAAGCGTTTGCTCCTGCTGCTTTAATTCAATGCAATCCCTCCCCGTCGAGGCAAGCACTGTAATTCTCTCCGGTTAGTCCACCAGCAGATGACAAACACCCACCTCTCCGCCTCTTCCAAGGAACGAGGGGACTGTGCGGCAGAGTTTCAGTTTCAGTTTCTTTCGCCGGTCAAGATGTCCGTTAAAGTTTAAATCTTCCGGACAAAATTAGAAGAGTGCCGGTCAAAGGTCTTCTTTGTTATTTATTGAGCTTTAAAACAAATGAATAACAACTCTATATAATAAAACACGGAGGATGGAGATCTCTTTTTCTCCCCCTCTTCTGACAGCCCAGCAGCTGATCAGAGCACGGCTCACCTCTCCTGCAGGGGGGCATGGTCAGCAGAATCAGACCCGTAGACAGCAAACAGCACATAGAGCGAAATGAGGCATGGCTAAAATGCATGATCTGTTTGGTATTTTGAAAACAGAAACGTATAAATATACCTTATATAGGTATGGCCCTACAATATATCATTTAAATATAGCATGATAGGTTCACTTTAAGGTAGGCCTTTCTATAAGGGGTCCAAAATAGCTTTTTCAGCTGCCCTTTGGCAACAACAGTAAATCGCTCTGATCCCTTGCAGTTACTCCTTTCTGTTTCCTTGGGGCGTACTCAGCACCATCTACTGTACACTGACTGAGGTCCAGTACAACAACCCCAGTTCATGCATCTTAACGATGTAGCTCAGATTAATTAATGTTATTCCTGACATTAATTTGTATTTTAAATAGATTTAAACATGTTTTTCCTGTTCACTGGAAACCAAGTAAAGGCCAGAGTAATACTTCATCTAACATAATCCAATTTTTTCTTTTAAATCTTCCGTCTCACATACAAATAATGTCTATCCACAAAGGAGCCAAAGATTCTAATGTCTGCATCCGTTGCACTAAACTTACTTTTTATTTTGTACATTCCCAACTGCAACAAAGGCTGCAGGACTACATGCACAGTGAGACAATTTCAACCATTCTTCAAAAAGTTCTCCTTTTGAATGTTGCAAGTTTAAAAAAAAAATGATATGTGCGACATGAGATCTGGATTGAATAAATAGCAGGAACTTTCAGGATTGTCGTGGTAAAATTCCACTTGACTATGTTGGCTAAATGTTTGAATAGGGTCATGTTATAGATAACATGACCCTATTAATGTTTAATTAAAACATTAAGCTTCAATATTAACAAAGAGACATCAAAGCCAAGGCCACAAACAGCTTCGCACTCAATGAATGTTGTCTTTGTTTGTTCATCAGAAACACAGGGAAATGTTCGACAGAATGAACTGTTACAAGGTAATCTGCCTTCTTTGATATTTGTTGCAGTTGTTATCGCCTTAGGCTAACCATGAGTCTTTGCGGGAAATATTCAATCAGTCAAGCATGTGTGGAAATTTATTTTCCAAGATCCTAAAGCAGTGCATGTTTTCAGCAGCCCTTGAGGGTCCTGCTTTACGGCACGCTGTGATTCAAGTCATTTTTACTAGCAACCCCCAGACTAATAAAACTCAATTCACACTGTGATCTTTCAATGTTTAGGACAATTATCAAGACATCTGGCAGGAAATCAGAACATCAAGATCCTTTGTGATATTAATAGTTGACACCCTTTGGGGCATTTCAGTTCATAGTGAATTATTCTCTGACTGTGAGCTTAGACAATTTATTAGAGAGTAGTTTCATTTGGGTATTGGGCTTGAAGCTGATAAACACATGATGTGCCGAATCCACACAGCCATGGGCTTTTTATTAGTGTCCTCAAAAGTTGTATTATACGACAATAGAGCAGCACCAGGATTCGCTTTCAGATCAAATCACTACCGTTTGCTCTTCAGGTAGAGGATGAACTTGCCCTAATTCAAGTTATTACTGCGTTGTAGCTTAATTCAAAAGCATATTGATTTTGTTTTGAGATACATATGCCTTTTTTATTTATTTATTGAAAATACAGTATTCTCGCAATTTTGCCTCATGCATGCAACTCACCTGAAGGTTGAAGTTTGGCAACAAAGACCGGAAAAACAGGGACAAGGTGCTCTCGTTTGTGGCACCAACGTGTTGCCTGTATGCAGACATAGACACATGCAGAAATACATTACAGTAAAAAGTGATTTGAGAAACTGCCTTGAATTGAACCAAAGGGGCTAGAAATGCCATTCAATTTTAAATGTATGTAAGATGTGTCTTTGTATGAAGGGTAGTGTGTTTTTTATTTGTGTTTGTGTTTGCACCTGTACCTCAGTGTAATTTGACCTTGAGAAGTGCACTTCTGTATGTTTGGAACAGTACACTGTATACATGTGTTTTCTATGTATAAAATGTTAATAAAAACATTGTGTTAAAAAAAAGAAGTGATTTGAGGATATAAAGCCTTTTGGTTTGTAAAGCAACATATTCAGACAAAATTATTTTAGAATCTCATGTGCACAGGTGTTGCCCTTCATTACCTCTCTGGTCGAGTGTACGACATCACAGAGTCCAGCGGAGGCAGAGGGTCAAAGCCCATCACAGGCTGACTGGTCACCTCCTGAGGGGTCAAACAGACACGCAAGGCAAGTTTTACCATCTTGGTTGACACTTAAAATATACATAAGACCCTCGGAGTGCTGCAGGGACAACGGCCTTGTACTTTGTGGTTCTTTTTTTCATGCATAATATTATAGTTTTATTAAAGGTTTTAACATTTCAATAGCTAAATAAAAATGTTATTCATATCAATTAATCTCATTAAAACTCAGACAGTAAGCCTGGCCTACATAAAAGAGCAGTTTATGTATCTGCTGTCGAGTTAGTCATGCTATAACATGATTTATTGCTTGAATATAGTTAGAAAATAAATGCACACTGCATCGCATTATTGGTCTAAAAAAATAAATTGCAAGCTTTAGTTTTTGGTATAAATATATTTACAAAAATAGCCACATGTGGGTGCACTTATTTAGGACTGCATCAGTGGATTTGTGATATATTTACAGTCTTCACAAATGTGATCTACATGCTTATTTAGTGTGAAATCTGATTTAAACTTGGGAACATTGGAGCAAGACAATCTTAGATTGGGGCCCCAGGGAGGCCGCATGTTTCTTGTAGCTTGGTTGTTAAATTAAATTCCCGTTGCTTGTGAGGCTGTTTTGAAAATGAGAAAAAGGTGAACTAAGGGCTTTGTGGGTAAAATGAAGGGAATTCAAATTAGGTAGCAGATTAGTAGTAGATTGCTTTTTACTAGAGGAAGACTTGAGGTGGCTTCTTTGATCTCAGAGAGAAGGACGTGACGATGGATGTTCCTTGGTGCACTCTGGTACCTCTGCTTCCTCCTAAAACAGATGAAGTCATGGTTACTGTTGGAGCATAATTGCACTGAAATGTGGCAGCAATCAGCTCATTAAGATATCTTACTTGTTTTGGCACTCCTCCACCAAAGGGTCTTTGGCATCAACTCGACGCAGCACCTCCTTCACAGACTCTTCCAGCCACAGCATCACCGCTGCCTCCCTCCAGAGGCTGTGCGTCCTCCCGACATACAGAGAAGTCAGTTCAGCCAGGGCCGGGGGCTGCCTGCAGACAAGGGGGTTAGGATGACTTCTTTAAAGTTAGGGAGCATAAGGGAAGACCAAGTTGAATCAAAAGGAGTATATCAATTACAGATATGAAGAGATTTATACCAATACTATAATGAATTGGTTATAGTTCATGTTTACGCAGTGTGCATGATAAATCAAACCATGCTTCATTAATATAATAGGGTAAAATGTCCTAGTTACTTCAGAAAACAAAGAGAGCATACATTACCCCAACTGGCTCTTTGGGCCAAAGAAGACATGTGAGCTGACTGCGGCATCTGGCTGCACAGTACACAGATCCAGGAGAGGAATCAGGACTGCAGAAAACACATTCACAGCAACATAAGTAGGTGAAAGAACACTATTAAAGCTTTCGTTATGTGATTGGTTAATAATCCCTAATATATTGTTGACATTTTTTAGTCATGCCATAAACCAAGCATGTCTAAAAGTGGTTTTAGGGCCAATCTGTGCCAATAAACCAACTTGTTTTATTTAAATGGTGAAAATTAATTGCAATATTTTATTATGAGATGTGCATTGATTTGGTTGCAACTGAAAGTCTATGGTTTCATATTTTAGTTGAACAGTCTAGTGTACTCTAACGTATACCACCAAAAGCAGGAAAACTGAAGTCAAATTTAATACCTTTTAAGACCTTTTTTAAGACCCTTTCCATACATTTGAAGACCTCATCGCCACTTTGAGTTCTAACCGGTTACATTGGTGACACACTTGACCTCACATTGACTATATACAGTATTGATTGTCCTTCCTCCTTATCTTCAAACCATTTGGACGCAAACTTGCATTTCCCCATAACGATGTTGTAAACGGACCTTCGCGCGCTATCAAGCAGTGAGCGTGCGATGTCCTGTTCAGATGACGTCAAATCCAACGGGATGCCATAAATAAACTACACAGAATCACACTACACACCTACGCAATGATTACATTCAGGCAGACTGTAGAATACAACCTCTTTGGACAATTTATATACTTATTGAAAACAAGCTACAAAATGTAAAACCTTGGAAAATGCAGTTTAATACTTTTTAATAGCCTTCATTTTCGCTAAATTGATTGATCAACTTTTAATACTTTTTAAGACCCCGCGGACACCCTGACCACTTCTAAAATTGATAAAAATGTCAATTAATTTTAAGGTGTTGTTGTTCCTTTTATTGGAAACCTGTGTAAGATATGGGTGGGTTGTACTAAAGTAGGCAACTGAACACACGTCTATTTTGAAATGATCATTATTGATGACTGAAAGTTTCATATTTCATGTGGATATTTCAGAATTGTGTGTCAGAAAGGCCTCAGACAATATTTATAGACTAATAGATGTTACTTTTTTGAGATTCTAACCTCCAGGAAACATGATGAGAGCGTCCTGCAGCAGCTGGTCGGCTTTGTGTCTTTCTTTCTCACTTTCTTCAGGATCCACATCTTCCAGCTGACTGAGATGGAAATGGCAAAGTGCAGTGGAGAATGCAAAGTTTGGCAGCTGAGACAGATTTCTGTGCTCCTGAAAAGCAAAAACAAATCATTTCTGTATCAGACTGGAAAGGTGAACATAGTGTATATGCACACATTGGCACTTCACAGCACACTTTACCTCCCACTCCTGGTGTAGCTGAAGCAGAGAATGGTACTCTCTGGAGCGCAGCGTCAGGAAATCAATCAGCAGCAGCATGCAAAGTGGGTCAGAGTCTGGGTCCAAGCTAATAAAAGAAAGGCAGATCGGAAGCAAATGGTTACTTCAGGCACTTGACCAAAAGACACGAAGATAAGATATCTCAATCCATGACAGTGTTTCTTTGATTCTTTGTATTTACGAGGCTTTGACCGGAAAATCTGTCAGTGGAATAATGTCAGGTGAAAGCAATTTATCCTCGCATCATTTGAAGTGTATTAAAAATAATCTCAAAGGACAAGTCAGCACCAGCCCTTGTGACAGCGATGAGGTTTCTGTCTGCCGAAGAGAATTACCACAGCGCCAGATTTCAGATCGGCAGCAGACAGGCCTACAGGTATTTTGGTTTGTCTACAAATACTTTTTATTCAGTTCTTTATCTGAGAATAAGTAGGCCTAAAGCTAAGGGAAATTCTTTGTATAAAAGTTACGGTAAGTAATATTTTTCAATATGCTTGAGTCTATTTAGGGGATTGTTTCATTTTAAATAGCCTACTTTGCAATAAACGATACACCTACATGGCTTTATGAAGTCTTCCTTTATATAGCCTTCCTATCAATTGTTTTTTAGTTCAATAATAAACACACATAATATTTGACCATTAATTTGCATATTCTAGCAGGACATTAACATCTTCCAGGACGTGTTGGTGCCGGGTCGATTCTGATTTATGAACCTGTAGGACCGACTGTTCTGTCCTTAAATGAACTGTGGTTATAGCTGACATTTAGCTTAATTTCAAATGATGCCATTTAAGTGTAAAATAAATATGACAAAACAGACCAGATGGCAGCAAAGTCCCCCAGCTCTGCTTTTTTTAAGTACATTTGGATGATTGGGCAGCAGACCCACTTATCTTACCCTGGAATTGCTCGACTGTGCACAAATTGACATTGATAGTGAAATAAATACATTTTCCTGGTTTCCATCCAAATCCACCACATTGCATTTAATACCAGCAAAGCATGCTTGATGATGTCAAATATAGTTTGTGCTCAAAGAACAACAGGGAATACAAATATTGTTTACGTTCTATAAAACATATGACTGATAGTGTTAATCACAAAATATGTGAAACCATTTCAGATTTATCGACTGCAGTTCGGTGAGGAACAGCTGTCCGCTTTTATTCCCACGCTGCTGCTTTATAACAGGCCCATAACATAACTGCCATTAAGTAAGGAAGCCAGAGTTTGATACAAATCATAGACAAGCATTCACCATTATGTGGTTAGGCTGTAAAGCTCAAGCTACGGCCGACTGATGGCAGCCGGGGAACAGACCACCCTAACTGACGTAATCCCTATACCATCAGGATACTGAAGGGTCTATGTAAAGTCATGAGAATTCAACATTACTTTATCTCATGTGCATCAACATGGTTAAACACTAACATTAGACTGCAGTTCAATAACTTACTGTTATAGTTTAATAATGAGTCGAAGCATTCAGATGACTTGAAAAACAACTTCTTGTCAGCCATGAAAAAAGGCAAATATTTGAAATTTAGATAGTTCTAGTTTCAAACACATGTTCCTTTGTTTCTCAACTTAAATATCCTCGGAGGGGGCATCTTAGATCAATATCAGTAGTCACACTGGTCACAGAATATAAAATATAACCTTTTTTATACCATCAACATCATTTTTCGGGACTTCCTATGTCTGAAGACATAGTCACCATAGAAACCAAATGTTGAGTAAACACCCTTTAAAGACTATCTTTCTAGTCAGATGACTGCCGTTTGTGGTTACTTTATTTAGGGAAATAACACTCTTTTTTGTTTAGCTAGTGTGTAATCATACTGTTTGTAGTGATGTTTAATGTGACGTCAAATAAATAAACTAAAGACGGAATAGAGACAAAAGAGAGTCTAAACTGATCAGAGATAATAGGAACAGAAAAGATGTGTTAGTCACGAGGGAGATAGTAACTGGGTTAATAGCTATGCCTGCGGTCAACCTTTAAACAGGATATTCTTTCTGTAAAAACATCTTAATAAAAACTGTGACTGTTTCCTCTTAACTATTTATCTCGTCATTCCCAGTGCTCAAGCTCTTCCCTTTGTACCTCAGGATGAGTTTGCAGTACTCCAGAGCCGTCCGTGGGCAGCCTCTCTTCTCCAGGAACATCATGTGCTTATAAAGAGCCAGATAAAAAGCCCTGCAAGCAGACATGAATCATCCTTTAAACACAATTGAATTCAACTCAATTCAATTCAATGTCATCTTTATTAAGGACACAATACATGGAGAGTCCGGGGCAAATGTTACAAAAGATAATCTAGTGGGACAGAGGCTTCGATAAAAAAGCAAGGTGTCTAATAAAGAAGCATTTAAGAAATGACCAACCTGTTCTCTGTTCGCAGATAATCCAGCCTGCTGGTGCTTGAGGTCAGACTGAATAAAGGATGAAAGGCGCACTCAAAGCTGTACATGGCCCTCTCTGAAAAAATATTATATCCACAAATAAACAGAACATTTTCAGTGAGGTATTCCCAATCTGGGCACAGTGTATGTACGCAGAACTGAACAGAGACACATTATAGTTGCAGCTGTTGAGATGAGTCTGTTCTGTTGTGTTTTTGGACTTTACCAGCAGGGCTTTGCATCCCAAAGAACAGAACTGAAAACCAAAGGCCACTCACTCCTTTGAGTTCAATTGATGTTGATTTAAACAAAATTCTATCAACGAAGACAAATGCAATTCGTTAAATAATCCCTCTAGTCTTCAACATTACATTAACCATTTTATCTATCAAGTGAGAGTGCCTGTAATATAGTAATGTGCTTCGCCTGAGCATGAACTTTTTAAGAATGGCTGCTTTGTTGGTTTACATTTAACCAAAGCACACTGACAGTGAGCTCTAGATTAACCACAATTATATAGTTTGATAATCTGACAAATGAGGAGGCATCAGTGGACTGACTAAAGCCAGTTTTGGATGTGGATAGTTAGGCTATTTAACATTCTGCCTGCAGAGTTTGTTTAAAATAACCCTAAAGTAATTGTTTGGCAATAAAAACATCTTCAATATTTGGTTTCAAAGTGGGATTTAGAGAGGGAGTCCATGATCCTCACCAATGAGGTCCCTGGCCATCTCCTGATCCTCCTGAATGCGGCAGACATCAGAGAGCTGCAACAAAGAATCAATGTGGTACGGGTTCAACTGCAGCAAGGCCTGGGGAAACAGAGAAGGGACAATGGTCATTTTGACAGGGAAGGACAAAGACATAAAGACAGAAATGCGTTCAACCTCCTGTTGAAAATGTGAATAATGCATATTGCTGAACTATCTGTGCAACTGTAGATTGTCAGTATGTTGACATATAGGAAGTCAAACTGGGTTTTAACTGTAAAATCATAAGACATATGGGCTGAACGCTGACTTTTCTCTTAAAGTTTTAGGAACAGTCTTAGGACTATGAACGAGAGCATTCAAATTGCAGTTGTTGAATTTTTATACTGATGATGATTTAACAGGATAGTTTAACGTCAAATCGAGTTGGAAAGGCTGATACAAATAACATTCCATTTGGGATGTTACTTGACCATTCATGCCAAACAGTATCACAGTTTATTTTATGAATCCCTGGCAACATCAATACTGAGGATGCTTGATTTAAAATATCATAAATAATCATTAAACGCACTGACACCAAAGAGCAAAGACAACGTATGAGCTGGTTGTTTTACCACAATGTTGTTGGGATCCATGGACTCGACAGCATCCAGGAACTTGAACTGTACTTGTTGGTAGTCCCGACCGTGCTCAAAGGTAAAGTACTGAATGCCATCCTTTGACTGCAGTAGGGTCATTGAGATTCCTGTGGAGACATCAAAAGGGGGATGATTCCAGCCTCGGGACCTTGCCATAACACAATTGTTTCCATCATTTGAAGTCACTGTCTCCTAACTGTCAGTATGTCTGCAAATTAAAAAGTAATGTCTAAAACGGGTCTCTAAGAAAAGCATCTTGGGGTAACTTCTGTTATGATTTGGTGCTATATAAATAATAAAGTATATTTATCATGACTGTTTAATAAAGGCAAAAGCGGCCAAGAAAAACCGTGAAGAAAACTGACACGAGAATGACACAACAGAGTAATAAATGGCAAAGCTATATACAGTATAACACGTATATAATTGAGTAAGTAAGAGTACAATAATATCACTATTTACTCTTATGTGTGTGTATTGGCGTAGGAATCTTAATACTTAGTCACAATAAAGAAGCATATTCAGAAAAAAACAGTCAAGTGGGAGCGAAGTATGCAATTGTAGATATAGGACAACATTTAAGTAGTGAGTTTCAGCCTGAAATAATGCATTTAAAAAAGCAACAAGCTATGATAAGACAAGTGTAAGGAAAAGCCTACCTGGGCGGCTGAAGCGAGGCCAGCTGTCCTTGGGAATGGTCATCCAGGTGCTACGGTGAAACTGTCTGTTTCTCTGTCGAGGTCTTTCAAAAGACAAGAAAAACATATAAGAATGATGACAAGAATAAACTAAATCTTATAATAATGTCGGCAATTTTAATCCAAACAGTCTCACAATTTTTCTTTTTACCTTTGATCCCCCTGAACAGCTCGAGCCCCAAAATATCTCTTCAGCTCCGTCTCTGAGTTGAGGTTCCTTATTAATTGACATAAAAAAAATTACATTCAGATTTCGACAGGCCGACAATGTCAGTTGAGAAGAAACATGGAAAGGGCCTGTCATTTTGTCAGGTCATGCATGAAAGACTCTACAACACAAATGCAAAACATTTTTTGTGTTTTCTGTGATTTTCAAGAGACGACGCTGACATGTTGATGTTGGTGACCATACTTAACAGTTGACAGTTAGTAATCACACCAGTGGGACCCAGAATTCAAGCCTCATATTTTGTAAATGTCAGTGTACAGAATTGTTTACCTGATTTTAGGTTAGAAAGGTCAACTTTTACCTTTTAACTACATCTTCAAAAAAGAAATAGTGCCAAATAAGGTTTCCATGAAGGATAACGAAAAGTACCAATGTTTTTATATTTTAGCAATATACTATGGACACACCATCAATGGCATGGCTGCACAGTGTGCGTATTTAATATTGGTCATCAATGTAAGCATTAGGTAAGCACATTATCTTGTTCTGTATCAGCATGGTTGCATCAGTGAAATCAGCAGTTTACATGACATCAAACGCAGTGCTATCATTAGAGGTATATGACATGTTCTGACGTCCCTGGTTATGTAGCAATAAGTGCAACATAATTCAACAATTGTGTAAACAAGTGTTAATTCAATGCCATGCATTTCTGAGATGGATAGACTCCAAATAGTTTACTTTTTTGGCGTGGGTCAAGCGCCAACACATGGTGGCCATAAGGAATCACAGAAATGTATATTTTAGTAAGTAAGGCTACTGTACTGACCATAGACCAAGTCATGTAAGCTGTTCACTGGTGAAGAGATATTTTAGTGTTTCTACTCCAATAAACATATTCATGTGCTTATTTACGAGCCTTTCAGCTCAGATGTATCTTACAAAATAACTACTGGAATAATACAGTACAGTAGGAACCAGAGTGTTGTGTATGTGAGTGCTATGCAGAAATATCTGATCTGACTATCCATTTTGTCTACATGTGAGATGTTGCTCTCCTTACCTGTGCTCCACATGTAGCACAGATCTTCTGTCGGAGCCTCCACAATCTTCATTTTGCAAACCCAGTCCATTGGACTGCTCCAGATTCTCCAGTATTAAATCAATGTTATCGTCCGGTACAGCCTCCTGAAAATAATTGAATACAAAGTGGTTAGACAACGTTTACCTGTTGTTCTCTTGCTAAAAAAGCTACCTTTTTGAAAAATGTGTGTATATACTGTATCTGGCAATGAAAAGTGATTGTATGAGTGTTATTAATACATACATTAACACACATTAATAATGTACAATTATTTTAATTGTATGGATTTAATGTTAGTAAAGTTATCATTGATTCTTAAAATATAGCGCAGGGTTACTATTTATTGTGAAAATATAGATAGAATAGAATCGGAGGGATGAAACCCTCTTTAATGGTCACACATGCAGAGCACACAGCACACACAGTGACATTTGGCCTCTGCATTTAACCCATCCTAGTACCAGGAGTCTAGTACTAGGAGCAGTGGGCAGCTATTGTACAGCGCCCGGGGAGCAATGGGAGTGAGGGGGGGAAGGGGGGTGTCCGGTGCCTTGCTCAAGGGCACCACGGCAGGGCAGGAGGTGAACTGGGACCTCTCCAAGTAGCAGTCCACACTCCATATTTAGGTCTGATCGGGGACTTGAACCGGCGACCCTACGGCTCACAGTGTAAATCCTTTCTCAATAAATGTACCTGTCCTTCTGTCACTTTGGTCTTCTTCTTTTTCTTCTTCTTTTTAACTCTGTCGCCAGACGACTGTTAAAGTAAAGAGAGATGACAGTTTCATATCTAGACAAAAATGCACTTTTATATCAGAAATAAATATGTAAGTTGATCAGAGGCACTCCTCCTTATATTGCTTCATCTTTACCTTTGTAGATGCATTCTCTTGCTTTTCATCTGGTTTCTCAATGACATCCTTTTTTTCTGTTCCACTTGTTTTATTTTCATCTGGTTTATCTTCTTCTTCATCAGGTGAGATTATATCTGCCTCGTTGTCTGCATCACCTATCTAGTAAAGAATGATACATTGGCAAAATAGTTAGTTGGATAAAGCAGCGTTAAAAGTGAGAAACATTCTGGATTAAACATTGAAAACCTAAGTTGCTGGTATCCATTAATAATAACCTGAACAACTGAAACCAGTCAGGCTATTATTTAGTGATGCATTATGATATTGATGTGGGATAAAATGGATGTAAAGAACATATAAGCTTAATTTAATAATGATGATGTGATGTCTTGATTTACAGTGATCATTTGTTTCATGACGTAAACCAAATGTTGTTAATGAATGCTCAAATCAATCGTTTACTTTTAGTTAAATAACTCTTTCTAGGTACAGTAGTATGGATTCAAGTTCCACTACATCATTTATACTGGCTGCATGAAAGTCCATATTCAACTTGATTTTGAACATTCATCTGTCCAAATTCTGAAGAAAAATATAAAAATAATGATTGTAGGGTAGCTATATTATATCTCCATTTTGTATCACTATAAAACACAATTTAAAGGCTGGCAAACGTGACTGTTGTACAGTCCACTGGATCTTTGTTGTCAGTGTTTTCTTAAGGTTGGTGTAGACTACTTCCTATGTTAGCTTCTTAGCTAACGTTTACTTTGGTTGAATGTTAGTTTATTTTAATAAACTAAAAGGTGAGCTAACGTTGACGCCACACGGCTAGCTTGAGTTAGCAGGGTGTATCAACAGAGCTCGCTGTAAACATCCGCCAGAAGGAAACACACAGTAACGTTGGTTAACAGAAACATATATCATATCTGGAGAACTACAACATCACCTCACCAATTCATAAATGTTGCTGAAGTTTTTCTGAGCCTTGTTTTTCTTTGCCTTTCTGCCTTTGCTATCAGACGGGGGGGAACCACTAGCCGTGTCCAGCAGCTCCTCCGGGCTGTCATCTAAAGTGAGGTCCCCGGCGTCCAGGGCCTCCTGGCCCCGCTGCTTCCCTTTGAGCCTTCGCAGAGCCCGGGTAGACATGGTCCACTGTTCATGGGACACATACACGTCAGTTAATCGCGATTAAAGTCGTTTTTAGTTAGCTGACAAACAGAGTAAAGCAATGAAATGAGGGTCTTCTTCTTCTTCTTCTCTCATTTAATGGCGGATCGCAAACAGCTTTTAGTTGCATACCGCCACCTACTGTACATGAGTGTGTATCATCATGCCATTCCAACTCTCAACTCATGGACCTGAGATCTAATAAAAAATAAAGAAAAATAAAATAAAAACATAAAATAAACAAAACAAAACAAAAATCCATGATCTATTCTAACCTAATGTTAGATTATTTTACCTACCCCAGTTTCACTCAGAAAGGTAAACAGTGCCTTTCTGGTAGCTCTTACTCCCTCTCCTTCTGATCCCAGAATACCAAACACACTCCTCTCCCTCTCTGCCTCTATAACTTTATCCTTTAGTTTTTCTCTTTCAGCTTTATAGATGTCACAATGTAATAAGATATGTTCCACATTTTCTTTAACTCCACAGTTCCTACACTTGTTGTCACTGTTACTTTTCCCCATGACATACAGCGTACTATTCAATGCTGCGTATACAGCATACGATTCAATGCTGCGATTCAGTCTGAGTCTATCATGATTTCCTCCCTTCTGTTTCTTTCTTTATAAATATTAATTGTGATTGTCTTTTGTACTTTATGATACTCTTTGCCTTTCTGGTCTTTCTCCCACCTTTTCTTCCAGATCTCCATCCCCTTTTTCTTAATTACTGCTTTTCCTTCTCCTTTTCCAAGTTGAACTGGTAATGTTATTTCCTTTTGTAGTGCACTTGTTGCTCATTTATCAGCACACTCGTTCCCTTTCACCCCCTCATGTGCAGGCACCCAGCAGAACTGCAGATCTATACCGCCTCTGTGAAGTCTTAACAGGCTATGGTTAATTTCTATGAGAATGTCTTCTCTGACAGTTGTTGTTGACTGTATGCTTTTTAATATGGATAATGAATCTGTGTATATCACCACCCTATCTGGTCTGACCTCTTCAACCCACTGTAATCCTATTATTACTGCCAGCATTTCTGCTGTGTACACTGATAGTTGATCTGACGCTCTTTTTGAGATCGATATTTTAAAGTCTGGGATACCAACTCCAACACACTCTTCCTTGTTCTTAGATCTGTGTATATTTTTGAGGTAATTGTGATAATTATTCCTGAGGTACATATTTGTTTTGATTCCTACTTCATTTATTTGCCACTCTCTTTTATTTTCTAGAATACTCATATCTATATTTACTATAATAATTTAGTTAATAAATGTATTCTTATGGTTTAGCCTTTCTCAGGCTACAACATAGTTAAGTTTACGAATATTATTAAGGAATACAAATCCCTCTTTGCAATGTTTACCAGCCTCTTTATGCTTTTCAATCACAATCATTAAACTGGAATAAATACAATATTGTTAACATGAAAATATGATTTAATTATCGTTGTTTAGAGTTATTCTAAGGCTTTACTCATTGGGAACTCGGTATGAGATAGAGCACACTGTTGAGATGTCAAATCTGCCTGTTTTACACACTTTGACCAACAGGGGGGTTCAAATGAAGCCTCGTGAGATGAACCCTTCTGCGAACCAATTGGCTGGAAAGCTTCAAAGCTGGCTTCATCTCGTCATCACTAATATTTACCATTGGAAAAAGCCATGGGGGAACACTACTGAATCGATTTGATGGTGTAAACTCTAAATCATGCATGTCGTATGTCCTTATTTTTCCTATACTTGTCCATCCAAACCCACGCCCCTGGAATTTAGAATATTCCCAGCAATCTTGTATGTTTTGTTGTGATATTTCCTTCCCCACTTCCTTGGAAATAAGGGTCAATCCCATTGGTTGGTTTTCTTCTTCTAACAGATTAAACGGTTCTGTGTGTGCTACTGCCCCCCACAGGAAGGAAGAAAATTGCTTCAATAACTATTAATTTTATGGTAAAGTTTTGAACAGGAGGTAGTACTTTTTACATGGCATAGAAACTGTAATGTATCTTTCTTTCGTGGTTGTCATGTCACTTATTACATTTGGGGTATTTTATCATTTATTTTACATATTATTAAATGCACTTTGTTTTTGTATCTCAAGGAGATTTTTATTACACTGTTTCGTTATAAGTCTCTCTTAGAGGTTGACACATTTACTGTAGAGTGCTTTGAAACAGCCTGAGTGTATGAATCTTGCTGTGTAAATGAAATAGTTTAACCTAACTTATCCTGAAACTCTAAGCCTACAGTACAAATACTGTTCCAAATCAACTGGGTATGTTTTGTAGTTCTCTCATACAGCAGGAGGTGGCAGCATTTCCCTGATGTAAACTGCCTGGCAGGTTTTAAATAACTTTCATTGTTTCGAGCCTTGCATTACATGCTGTAAAAAAAAAGATGCATTTAAAAAAAACTGCATATTTTCCCCAAAACCTTTTTCATAGAAGTTACTTTAGGAATATAACCTATAAGTAGTTTATTTGAGTAATTATTTGTATATAGTACTGATACATATCTAAAATAAATAACTGCTGTACATTGGTTTGCGCTTCATATGTTACAGCCCCACACAATAAAATGGGGAAGTGGCACAGTACCTCTGTGGTTTTCACACAGAGTACAGCTGCTTAACAGGTCAGCTGTGAAGGACAAAAACAAAACCTGGAGACATGAGAATAGAAATGACAGAAACATGCAGAACTTGTCTGACAACTAGCCAGAAGTATAAAGAACATAATTGTTTCCATCTCCAAGTCAACAAAGAACAGCAATGTGACAAACAATGAGAAAGACATTGTAAGTGGTTTTTGATGAAAGTGTCGGCTAAATGAAATTAAATGTAGAAATTACACTTAAGGGAAACTCCAATGTATTGAAATCCTGTGTGTTTGCAAAATGGGGAAGTGGCAAGTGTCATAACTTAAAATAATCATCCAAACGGAACTTGTCAAATAAGACATAATGTAAAAACCTAGGAAAGTTTATGATTCAGTGGCACAAAGGGTTTATTTACAACACATCAAAGTACAGACAAAATAACAACAAATGCCTAATATCAATGTGACACAACCAATACCTAATTGTCTATTTATTTGTAGAAAACAGCGCTTTGTAGTCCTACAGTATTGTGATCAGTTTACCTCATTAAATAGACAAACACACTGAGTAACATTTATTAATAACAGAATATGTTGTATGCCATTACAGAATATACAGTACAGTGGTTGGCAGAGAAAACAGCACATTTGAAACAGCAGTACAAATAACTACCTTACCTAGAGTCTTTTGACTAGACAACTTTTGTAATTGGTTGGCACTGAGCAGTGATAGCATTACCATTGACTTCTGGGGGCATGTTCTTTTTTGTTCAAAAGTAACATTCACTTTACCCATCCTTCATTTAATTCTAAATTATTGCTAAGAAGATGTTTTCTCTGTTTATAATCTATTTCTCTGCAGGGTGAGGTAAGAAGGAGTGGACTCAACATGTAGTCCAGTCACAAGCTTTTCCTTAACTTCAGAAAAATTCATTTGTCCATAAACTGAGAAAATTGTGACATATGACTGGTTTTGTACCAATATCTCAGGCAGTAAGGAAAAGGAATACAGAGGGTGGAGCAATGGGCTGGTTACTCATCAACAGGGATGGGGTTGTCATAGGCTGCTCCCTCCAGGTCGTCGACCCGCTTTCTGCGCGTCTCAGGAGGAGGTCTTGGTGGTGGATTCTGAGGTGGATTCTTCATGCTGTCATCTGGCTTTCTGGCTATCTCCTTCTTTGGAAGAATGGGCTCCCAGTGTTCACCTCGGATAGCTGCCTAGAAAACAAAGTGTTGACAAAGAATAGTCAGTGGTGTTTGGCTAGAGTAAGATAAAGTTAAGCATACCTATAAACTATTATAATCTCAACAATAATAAGAGATATGTTATAGTGGCAGTGTTACTCAGTTGTTTGCATAATTATAATTAGATAAACTGAGCTACTTGGAAAGCTTTATATCTTTGGTTTATTGTCACATCTAGGTTTGTTTAAGAATTCAGGCACACCTCTGACTGGTCGGATTTCATAACAAAAGGGCCATGTCTCAACAGAGGTACTAGTCATGAAACAATCTCTTCCTTGTTTCCACTTCCTTGTTTCTGAGAACTGGCCACTTCAAGTCTCATCCATCACCTTTATTAAAGTTAATATACAAACTGGAGATTAGTTTTGCGAAAGCTGCCCACTTACTGCAAGGTAGATGATGCTGGCAATGCCCAGGCACACACACCCGAGGACAGTAGCAAGCAAAAAACCTGCAGGTACACTGAGTCTAAGAAAGACAGAAAGGAAATGTAAGGACAAAACACAATAAGCCAAGTATTTCAAGCATGTTCATTGTGGAAAAACTGACAGTGAATAACAGGAATGCAGTCTAACAAAAGGAAAGTGACAAGTGTAACACTCACGCAGCATGTAAAAATGCTCTGACATAGTAGTTCCTTGTCAATGGCCCAAAGGATTTCACACATACAGTGAAGCAGTACTGGCCCCTGAGAGAGAACAAGACACAGGAGTGAGCAACAATATTCAGGCAAATCATCAGTGAACCTGACCCTTTAAGCATACAGTATACACGTTGCAGACAAAGTAGATCATGAAAATCACTTACGTTCTCTCCACACTTGTGCCCTTGGTCCTCTTGCTTCGTGGATACTCAAGTAGACACACGAATGCCCCAGCAGCACTAGTTATCTGTCAAGACTTTTTCATTTCACAAGATTCACTCGTCACATCACAACTATAATAGGACATTAGTTTATATTAACATCTGTGACCGTGAGCAGGTTTACTTGGACAAGATAATGATGATTGGACTAATTTCTTTCTGGCATATGAAAAACTATGATTATTTAAATAAAAGTACACACGTTTGACACTAATTATATTGTCCAGCTAAACAATACAATATAAGACCAGGCTACAATGTTAACTTGCCAAAAATAAATATTGGTAGTGGATTTCATTTAGTGCTCCCCTATATCACATCTGTTTCAAGCTTTTTATGAATTATTTCACAGCATGCAATTAAAGGCTAAATAAGACTTCAGTTTTGATAAAGAAACT